TAGGACTTCGTCAAGTTTACAACAAGGAAAACTCCGCTATCGGAATTTTTTGAGCACTCAAGTCCCGTCAGATCAGGATCAACCTTCAGCATTGCCTTCTAATGTTTATTCACATCTCGCATGCTATATTCCTACATCATGTTTAGGTTTTCTCCAGCTCTTGATAACAGGTCGATTTCTTAAAAGGGAATGTTTTCCTGGAACTGCACTGTGGGCCACACGTTGGACTTTCAATGTCTGAACCCTCCATCAAATCGTCTGGTAAGCTCGGCTAGCTAAGGTGTATAGTTCACCGCTTCACTGGGTCGCAGTTGCCCATTCGCTGTTCAGTTGAATTGTACTGTGGGGTAGGTTAGGCAAATAGGCACTTTCGGAATCCCAGGTGAGCAAGCAAACAATGGTGATCACCTGTTAAAAGTGTACTTGTAGAACCCTTTATGTCTGAGTAGCACCAACATCGAAGATGACAATGTGGCATCCACCCACCTCAACTCTTTTGTGGATTGGTATACGATTTTGCTACCAGTGACCCCTTGAAGGGAAGGATTGAAGACTGCGACTCCTTCTAGAGTTTGTTTTGACGGGCATTAGACTTATATGTATGCCTGTGAAATGTACGACAGAGAGAAGATTGATCAATAATGAAAAGGTGAATGTTCTAGAAATAAATCATGTGGTTTAATGCTGTAGAGTGGTGGAATGAAATCGTGTGTACCAAAGTCTCAAGGAACCCAGAATGAGACGGGGTGACTGATAGTGAACATTCCAGTCATGGGGTATGATATAGTGTTTCCACTTTGTAGGTTTGTGCTTTTTTTTATAGTCGAGTATTGTGTTCTGTAATGTCAATTCTGCTAAATCCCTTCTGTTGCCTTTACTAAAGTTGATGTTCATGTTCATTCAACCATCTGTCTTTCTATTTCTTCATACTAGACTTTAAAATACGTAGATCGGTCCAAATGATATTATAATTTAAACCATACGCATCAGTGTGGACTGACCTACAGTTAATGTCTATGTTCGCTAAGTCTGATTTCGAGTGATCTTGAGGTTTGGACCTATGTAATTAATGGGGTAGTCAGTGTAATACATTGCATATAGTGCTCATTTGTTGTTAATCAGATTCATTAGTTTGCGAACGGTTTGAACACCAGATTTTATGAGATTTCTTTCATTATAATTTGACTGTCTGAGACGGCCGTAGTTCCGCAAACTAGTATTTATACCGTTATGACTGAAGGTGGAATGAAAATCTGAACTGTAGCGGGATACGAACCACCGACCATCGGGTTTCCGGCCCGATACTCTACCAACTGAACTACAAGGTCCGACTGCTGAATGGATTTTTATTTTACTTCAATCACCATGAGTTTTACCCATGTCAGCAGTCGAGGACTTGCGTCTCAAGCTGGTGAACAAAATCTCGCATCTTCTGATTAGGACACGGAAACCTTATTTAATCGAGTGCTGTTGCACAATTAGAAGGGATTCTTTTCGAAAACGAGTCGTTAGAAGGACTTGGAGATTTCATATGATTGAGAAATGAATCTCTCAGGATGTGTAGGATGGTTTTCAACCAATGCAACACCAAAGTTACCAGGGTGTTTTCTTTACAAAGGTTCTTTGATAGACATCAAGCGTTGAAGTATTCTGGTTTCTCCCGGTGAACTGCAGATCGGCAACTTTCCAAGGCTACTGAATTCTATGGCAACAAAGTCAAAATGTAATGAATGATTACATTGTGGTTAATAATAACAGGATAATCAGGAAGTCAAATTTACCTTCCAACCGATGAAAGCCAAAAATCTGTAATCAGTGGAATTCTTTGCATTATTGGGAATGGAATATTTGTTATTATATTATTCGTCCGTTGGGTTGCTAATGGGACATAGGGCGTCAACAGCACGTCTCCAGTGAACTCTGTTCTCCGAAATCTTGTGAACCTGACTCCACAACAGCCCAGAAGCTCTCATTTCCTCCTCGCACGATCTCCTCCATGTCACCCTCGGACGTCCAACTCGTCGCTCCCCATCTGGGTTCCACTCGAGGGCCTGACGCGTGATGTCCCCAGTCGGCTTTCTCAGTGTATGCCCAATCCATCTCCACTTCCTTCCACTGCATATTTGTTGAGCGATAGGTTCTTGGTTGATTCGTTCCCAGATCTCCTTGTTGCTTATTCTTTCTGGCCATCTGATCTTCAGTAACGAGCCAGCGTAGGTAGTTGTTCATGAATGTCTGTAATTTGTTGGAAATCCCTTTCGTAACGCACCAAGTCTCTGAACCATACAGAAGCACTGACTTGACTGAAATAGTGTTGAAAATCCGGATCTTGTTCACGCTTTGTGCTGAGTGCAGAAGATCTCCACACTGGTTTCGGGCTAATGAACGCCTGTCTTGCTTTTCCGATCCTGGCTGGCTTTGACGTTCTCGTCTGTGCCGCCACCTGTAGTTGAAACAGTGCTGCCTAGATAGGTGGAGGCTACTTCCTTTAAGTTTCTCCTGTTGATAGTGATTAGAGCTTGTTGTTGTTGTTGATGGCGGTGGTGCGGTATCTTCATCACTTCTGTCTTCTCTATATTCACTTGAAGTCCCATCTTCGCTGCCTCTTCTGCAAATTTGTTAGCTTTTGCCTGTAGGTCTTCAAGTTTGTGTGACATCAGGCACAAGTCATCGGCGAAATCCAGACCTTCTAGGTTCTTTTCCACAGTCCAGCGTATCCCCCTCTTCTCGCTCCCCACTGTTTGCTGCATGATCCAGTCGACCACAATCAGGAATATCATGGGTGATAGTAGACGGCCTTGTTTCACTCCTGTCCTCACTTCAAAGGCATCACTGAGCTTCCCATTGTGAATTACTTGGCTGGCATGTGGCGTCTTCATATAGTTGTTGAATGAGATTGATAAAGGTTTGTGGTATTCCGTAGTATTGAAGCAGTTTCCAAATTACTTCTCTGTCGACGCTGTCAAAGGCCTTCTCAAAGTCGATAAAGTTAAGGTAGAGAGTTGACTGCTATTCTGTACTCTGTTCTATGATGATGCGAAGTGTAGCTTTGCAATTTGGTCGGCACATGATTTGTACTTCCTGAAGCCTGCCTGTTCCGGTCGTAGTTTTGAATCCAGTGCATCCTTTAGCCTCTCCAGGATGATGCGGCTTAATATTTTTCTTGCTCTGGGTGGACAGGAGAATGATTCTGCGCCAGTTCTTGCAAACACTGAGGTCTCCCTTCTTCGGGAGTTTGATAAGGTAACCCTTCTTCCAACCGCCAGGTACCTTCTCTTCCTTCCACACCTTCTACAATAGTGGTGTGAGCATGTCTGCTGTTGTCTCTGAGTCTGCTCTCAGTGCTTCTGGCGGGATCCCATCTGATCCTGCTGCTTCTCCGCATTTCAGTAGTTTTATGGCGTTCAGGACTTCGACTTTTGTTGGAGGGCCTGTGTTCACTGGTAGCTCTCTGGATAAGCTGCTGGTGGTATTTCTGGACGAAGTGCAGGTGGTGGTCGATTCAAGAGCTTTTTCTCCCAACTAATAATGATTTTGGTATCATTGGGTGTTGAAATGCTCGTAATATCAGCTGCAGCTCTGGCAGATGTTAGTGAATTCTCTGGACCTCAGTACACTGTACTGTATATTCTTAGTACTAACAGAGCGGAGATATTTACTCCGAAATAATCTATTCGAGTGCCAAGCTTGGTGGGATCGTCAAGTACCTTCCACCAGATTATAGTGAAGTAGAAATAAATGAATATGTAGTTTTAGAACGCAAGTGTAGTCAAGGAGGAGAACTTTCATCGGACTGCGTAGGTCTTCATAGATCACACATTCTTGGTATGTGTCACAGAAATGCAATGAAAGACATTCTCAGTGGATAAAGGATAGGTGAGAATAGTCTATCGGACCTGTTGTAGGAAAGTAGCTAAAAACAGTTATTGTGGTGTACACAACCCAGTCGAAATCCCCACGGCGCCAGATGGGTAGTATGAGAAAAACGGGCAAGAAAGACAAGGGGTTTTGCAACATTTCACATGTTTCTTATCAGTTTGCCCCACATTTTATTCACCTAGCTTCGCGTCCGGTGAATAACTCCGAGTTGCTGACGGTTCACTCCTCTCTTTTCAGTCTTGTGGTCTGTCTTGAGTTTCTCTGCGGAAATGTTGACTGGGAGATATTTGAAAGTCCTACATGCCATAATCTGGAAAGGGGTTACTTTCATTATTGTTCACTGAAAGCACTTCATTAGCCAGACAACTGGAGTGCACGCAAACAACTTTGGAATTATGTGAAGTCGTCATAGAAAGTTCACAAGACCTTTAACGAATTCACTTAAGGTTATGATATAGTTGGATGTGGATAAATGACAATACAAACAGACAGTTAATGTAAGACATCGCTCAGAAGTACATCAGTTCAAGTCGCTACACTTTACAGCAGTATGCAAAGAACAAGTGGTATTGTCTTAGGAGTTATTTCGCAATCAAGGTTACTGAAAATGTTCGGAATTTAAAAACCGTAGACGAGTGAATACATCTGTGCCACTGTGACCGATTACCAGTCATTTCGCTGAGAACCCTCAACCATTGATTCCTATCGTCTTGGGGACCCCTGCCTGGTAGACTACATCACGGCTCAGACCGACAGTCAGGGATTTCATTGACTGATGCCACGTCTTGGTCTGGTCACCTGTAACCCTCTTTCAATATAATCCAGCTTCTGCTAGCATGGTACGTTGAGGTAGATGGTGGCTTGGCACTTCAGTCGCTGAAAGTTCACAAACTCATCGATGGACTTGTCTGCCTTATCTGGTGCCCTCTTTCTGACCTTGACATAGCTAGCATGAAGATTCAACCATGCATGAGCAATGCAATGAAGACATGGCATCACTAAAAAAATATCGGCAATACCAAAACTTCTGTAAAACGGTTTCAGTCCACTTAAATCCAGTTGCTAAACTAAATCTCATGTACTTACCCTGAGAATTTATGGGGTTACAATGGAGAAGAACGCCTAATTCGGGATACTCTAGAGAAGCATGCTTAACGTTAAATTCACGTTCTCAGCCGGTTGTAATAATAAATCACTGGTTGAGTCGTGCAATGTTGAAGCTATTCCATAGTCCTATGATGAAGTTTTGAGTGAACAATGCATTTTCCGATGACTTAGTTTTCTTAACAAATATCTGCGTGTATCATGTTTTTGTGATACCATTATTTTATGACAAGCATCGATACTATTACGTAGCTAGTATGTTTTACTTCCGTGGGTATGCAGTTTTGCTGGATAAATTTATCTGAGCGACTTTACACATGGTATGGCACGCACGGAGTTGTATCAGAAGTTTCCTTCTGATCAACAACCCATGCATCTGTTCATCAGGGGTGGGTATCAACATGTTCATAAAACGGAACATATAGACTTGTTTGGAACATTTGTAGTGATACACAAACGGAATGGCATGATTTAGATTAAAGCGCTACTTCTAAGAGCTGTCAGCACAACCAAATGGACTCTAGTTTTACTTCATTTCACCACAGGGTATTCGAGACTGGTCCTGGTGAACTTCCCACTAGTTGTCGATAGCTAAGTCACGGTTTGTCTTTGTTGCATACTAATCGATACTCAGATCTGGTTGATCGTCCAGAGTATATCCCGAATGCGTAGATCGTGAGCTACTTACCGTGTCAAATGTTTGGTTTTTATGTGTGGTTAGCAGTACAAACCTGATGATGACAGTACCCGTTTTGTGAAAAATGATAGGACGGTATTACGAGGTGTCACCCGTGAGTGTCCTACCAGTGAATCTGAAGTGTGACATAGTCATACTGGAGCACTCACCATCCATCTTGTATATTGTTGAGAGATATCGCCTCAGGATAGCTCACTGTTGCAAAACCAACTTTGTATACTGACAACTTGGTGAAGGGTATTCCGCTAGGCTGTGATGAAAGGAGAATTATAATTTAATGTGCGAGCGTAAAAATTTACTGTGTTCTTACATCAGATAACACGTAGTCTGGACAATGGATCGGTCGGCGACCGAGCACTAGTCACAACACGGATTTAGTGTTGTACTTGCGAAGACTGATTGGAACTATACATGTTGGAAGTGCAAAGGGGTTATTTAGTTGCAGCTGGACGGAGTGTGCGGTTTATGAGGATACCTGAACGATGAGTTTCCGAGATACAACCCTGCTAAACATACGTCCAGAGTTCTACCTAAATTGTTTCGTGTGCTAGGCCATCAGGTTCATGCATCACTTATCAAAGGGAATGGTAGTGCGAGTGGTGACCTGTGAGACAAACGTGCTTGGAAATAACTAGGTGAATCGTTGAAGATGTTGATCAATTTATGTGGCTAAACATATGGAAAAGGTTATCAGCTCTTTCACAGTTAAAGAAACGAAAACGAGGATATGTATGATTCAGGAATGGTTCGGAATAAGAAAAATCTGCTTCACGTTTATTGTTGTGTTTTCTGGGCTGGATGGTTTAGCGGTGAAACTTTCATCGTCACCCTAGACACCATGATCAGCACAAACTCCAGAAGCAAGTGAGTTGCAAGGAATTCTCTGTAATCAACGTAGTAAGTTGTCCAGGTGATCTCGGGTTTGATCGGCGTTTTCTTTCGTAATACTATTATTGTCAGCATTCGTATTTCGACTGCTTCCTGTCAATCCAAACTTGAAATGAATCTCAGATTATAACTAGGGAATTTCGGATGTAATGATTGATGTCTTCTCTAGGCTAATCGAATAATATCTGCGACCGGTATATCCCCTAACCATATTAGAAAGTGAACTGAAATACTTGAAGATCATCGTACACTGACTGTTTTAGGGAGGGGAGTGTCAGAAAGGTGAAAACTAACAGCAAGCAACAAAGATGGTAAATTCCCGCATCTCGTTTCTATGAGTTTCTGAATAGCTTGAAACCCAGCACGAACTTCAGATGCCATGTGATTATTCAGCTTGTGGCTTAGCTGTGGTCATATATACTTGGTGATGTTACTTAATGGTTTTTAAAAGGTGTCTCTGTGGCAACAAGTATGTTGATATGATGTAATGTGGGTTCTTCACGTACATTACATGCGTTAATGTTCATACTGGAGGTTTCAAAATGGGCGTATAATGTACCCGAAAGGAGGCGAGAGATATTTTCTATATGTAAGTGTAAGAAGTATCTTAGTTACGGAAAGCATAGAAGGGATCTAGGGAAAGTACGACTATGGAGTTAAAACTGGTGGTTTAGCGGATGAATAGGACGTTATACGTAGGAAGCATGGAAGTTCGTTTGTGATTCAGTGTTCGGTTCAGGTTGAAGCAGTTTAATGACACCCATGAAGCTCACTATGGTAGGTATGCAGCCGGGTAGAACTAGGTAGTGGAAAGTCAAACTCAATTGACAGCCGTTTTGAAAAATTCTGGTGTGAAGATTTTGATGATGGACTGACTTTGAGTGTTCGTGCTAATCGCTTCGTCGGATTAGATTATACCAATGGGGTAACGTTTCGTCTGTAGGAGGAGGTTATGGTCTGTAGAAGTAGATATTAAAAACCATTGAGTATCTTTCGAAAGTTTTTCCTAGGCTGATTTGTTAAAATCCATCAACTGCATTTTCATTAGATCTAGTTCTATGCTTAAAGGTTTGTTGGAATAGTTGGACTTCATTGAGTATCAGTTTTCGCATGATGTTGAATCTGATGGATGTTCTTCACTTTATTTGTTCCGTTTTTACGAATGCCTATTATGACTCAAAGAATGACGCACTGTTCTATGTCGGAAATAAGTGAACAAGGTTTGTGCACTTCTTCAATAGAGACTACGCAGATGATGTCTTTCACTGATGAACGTTTTAGCCAAAATGCCAATGTGTGCAAAATCGAATATACTCACTTTGGTGAATTTTATGTTTGCACATTGTGTAACGTAAAGTGCACTGGAAGGAAACCCTTTCTACAGCATATATATGGATCAGTTCACAAAAGGAACTCCAATTCAAGTGAGACTCTAATTCCATATCATGATTTCTTCTGTAGACACATTTTTCGGAAATGAATGCAACGCGAACTTGAACTCTCTTGAGCAGTACGTCCCACATTGCAATGGATTGGGACATGAACGGAACGTACTTCCATCCTCTGAACGTTTGACTTCTGGACAAGGTTGCACCCAGCAAGGATCTGTTGGAGACAATGACGCTTCCTACTTTTGTACACCTTGTAGTCTTCAGTGTTCTTCTAAGAAACAACTGGATTGTCACTTGTTAGGTAGGAAACATGTAAGACGGTGCAGCAGACAAACAGCGTATTCGCCTGTTCAGCGGTCGGACAACGTTGTGTTGCAATCACAATCGAATCAGCTTGTTGACCTAGTGCAAGATTTTTCACAAATGCATACTTCGATGGAGTCAGCAGTTGGAAATTCGAACAACTCAACTAATGCAGAAATGGTTCCCTTTATTAGAAAGATCACAGAACTTGAGTCGAGACTCATATCAACGACTGGTGTTTCTCTGGTGTTTTCATCACTGTCATTTTGCTCACTTCCTCCATGTCAGCAACAAATGGACACAGATGACGCAGTCAGAGCATCTCTTCAACAAAGCACTTGTGACTCATATGAAAGCGAACACTTTTGTAGACACACTGCTTGTGTCTTAGTGCGATCATTGCAGGTGAGTTGGTGTTTTGCCACGATTATTTTTTTAGATCTTATTTACACTAGACAAACAACAATTGTATGTTCTTGAGTAATAATAAATGACAACCGAATAAGGTTGCAAGTCCATGATCATGTGCACGTTGGCGTACTGCTCTGTAGGTTAACATCTGTGTGAAATTTGACTATATCAGGCTGGCAAAGTTGACTAAACAGAGCATATTTCGGTTTCATGAATCACTGGTAGATAAATAAATCCTTGCATATATCCACACGATGGTTAAATGAGAAATCGGGGTGGGTTTCTTTGTGGGAAACTGGGAGGATTTCTTCGAGTGCTTCTCGCGTTTTGAATTTTTGGAGGAAGCATCTCTTCTCTAATGATGACAAACTTACTAGAGAGAATTATGCATGCATCACCGAAAGAGAAGCATTTCTTACACGAAACGTTTTGTTATATACAACGAAGCATATGTTTCAACACGGTAGATCATAGTTTTGTACCGTTTTTAATGATCCTGTTTCACATGCTTCAATATTCAAAATGCAAAGCATATTTGTGACCGTGTTTAGAGTTAGTCGTTTTCCTATTTCGTCTTCTGCTCTGATATGTTATTAAAATGAGTTGGGAAGCAAAAGTTCATTCTGAGTTGTTTTGTTTTGGATTGTTGTGTATCTCGAGAAAGTTGTAATCAACATGAGTACGATGGACATTTCATATAGTTTACCTAAAAGTACAAATGTCTGCTACCAAGGTGAAATATCGTATTCTGCTTTGCAATAAGATGAATTATTGTATTGGTAAATGTTTGTTGGTGGACATTTTAGGTTTTGCGTGAAACAGGCTTAATGTCGAAGCCACGTGTATGTTATACAAATGGCACTAAATACGCGCCACTTCACCTTTCTAACGATTGTCAGGCTGTTGTGAAAGCATTGTGCTTATTCACTAGGAATTCAACTAGTCAATTTTAAAACAGCAGTAAACTTGTGTTAACTATTGTCATCTGAGGTTCTGAAGTCAAACAAGTTTTTTTCGAACGCTAAATTAAGCTAAATGGTATGCTTTTCATTGCAGACTCCATCTAACGAGACATGTTTGTGCCCTATAGATATGAACTATAGCACAGAACTTAACTATCGATTCTCATTCCACGAATAGCCCGAGACTGAACACTTCTGGTCAGGTTTGGGACAGGATAAGGCAGTGGTGCATCCCCACTGTTTCTAGTGATTTCCAAGTTGTTGCCTATGTCATTCGATCTGGATTTCCCTATTTTACTACAGAGCACGTAATTTGAAGGTCGTCCAATGCCTAACTTAGGAGTGAGACAACATCTTCATCGATGAATACTTTCTTTTGGGAAGGCAAGTAATCACTTTCAAATTTCGTATATTTCTTCATCATGTAGCCTATCCATACTTCGGTTTGTATATGCACAATCAATACTTCACTACTCATGTTGTTTTTCCTTTGGAGTTTGACAACCTAAGCAACTGTTCAATGTGTAGGGTTACCTAATCACATAGACCTAGTTCCAACCACTGAGTTACGCCTTCGGCTTGTGTCCTACCTAGCAACTTGTGGACAGTCAGGTTATACTTCTACAGTTACGCACTAAGTGGGGTCGAAAGTTTGAAGGTAATTTGTGAGTTGTAGTGTTGTGTGGTGTCTTTATTTCTCTCCTCTTATGGGTATTTGTTAAAGTAGTAGATAAAGGCGTAAGTGGTGAAAAAGGATAAATGCCGATTCTCTGAAACCAAGTAAAAAGGTGTTTCCCTCTGTCCATTGTGATAGATTCTGCATCAATCATCAGGGATCTATGAGTAGACGTTCTTTGCAATTTGTGGAATTATGGTGTGAAGTGTTGGTGGTGGTTGCAGACTTTTGAGCTCAATGGTTTTTATTTATCAGTGGAATTATTTTTAAACTTTAGAGTAGAATTCTTCTTGGACAGAACCGTAGTTCGCTGACTAATTCACTAACAAATTAGCGAGAATGTGTGCGCATGACTTCGGTCCACGGAATGTAAAGAACGAAGTGTTTGATTCTGGTAAATACCCACAGTGATACATGTCAGTACACGCGTCTTGTATTTTCCCTTATTTCTCCAAGATAATGCGCCGATGATTTTGGGCACTCTCAATGCGGCATATCATCGATCCGAGTATTTTGTTCACATCCATCTTTTGTGCACTTTGTATATATATATATATATTTATATATATATTCTTCTTTTTTAGTTTTATGAAAAGAGTCTATGTGAAAATCTTGGTGATCGAGATTGACCAGTTTGTGAACTTGTGTGGTTGGCTCTAACTGGATTAGCATTAGAATCCGTCGAAATTTTCTGTATATGAGAATAAAACTTTTAAAAAAATTCTTGATCCATTTGTGTCAGTTAAAAATTGAACATCCCATTATACTAAATATCATAATCATTATTTCACTGGGTGTTATATTGTTCATTAACTGTTCAGAAAAACTGTATTCACACCTGGAACTTTCGTTTATAGTTTCAGAAATGGGAGACGTAAACACCGTATGTGCATTATTTGTATTCATTTCCACATTTTCTACTTGACGTATGGGTAAATGTAGGTCTCAATTTAATATTGATTTACTGGTGAAGTACTTTCGTGTTTTGTCAACTGGTTTGTATCTCTCAATGCATGAAGAATCATATGCTCGTACAGCTGACGATGAGTTTAATAGTGTGCGTCAATTGGCAAGTAACTAGTTTTCGTCAGAGGTGCGTCCAAGAGTAGCATGTTTATTCTATCGAATGGGGTATGTAATAGCATGAATGGAATTGTGAACCCACTAGTGCATTATCTCATGATGTGGTGGTCGGAGGTGTGACAACTTGTACTTTTATGCAGTAATCCCAAGCTATTTGTTTATATTGTCTGTCTTGTGACGAGAGCAATAACTGAGCTTTTGACTTATAAGCTGTGCGGAGTTTTGAATTTGATATCGAGGAATAAGCAAATTTTTCGTCTGACACGGAACTGAGTGTGTAAAGTGTCCTTCTGTGTATTTTGGTTTGAGTTCATTTTTGTCTGGGGTTTGCGGCAGTTCCTCAGGGCGTAACTGGAGACAATGATAATAGCTCCATTTATCGGTTGCTGATGTGAGGTAACACGTTACTGTTATATGAGTAATCAACGGTGTTGTAATAATAGCAGGTCATACTAAATATGACCCGTGCGCGGGGAAATAGCGCGAATAAACAGTTCAGATGTATACAAAATTGTAAGTGTGGAATATGAGGGATATCCGAGTGGTCCGTTATGTGTGACAATGAAGTATGGTATAGAACCATGCACTGTATCTACTTACATTGGAATTGGCTGTTCGACTAAGTGGACATTGACGCAGTAGGCGGCTAGCCACACTTATAGTATTTGGACAAATCCTGTCAGGCTGCCTAAACATCTATAGAATTCGCCGGGATTCGAACTACCCAACCCACTAATCAGAAGTCGAGTGCCTAGACCAATGAACCACATGTGAACAAGGCACTTATGCCCGAGCGTCGACTATTTATTGCCTAGCTGTTTAAAAGATGCTTTGCGACTGCGATCTACTTTACTGTATGAGTTACAAATAAATAGGAAGGAAAGCTAGCTTACATAAGATTTATTTCTTTGAATAGGTAGCCCCATGTTCACCGCGCATTGACCCACTGTGGTTAGTGTCAGACAAGAAGTCAGAAGGAAGCTTGTGATAAACAACTGGAAGCTATGATGACTGACTTTCCGACACTCATAATACCTATAAGCTAGCATCAATTGGTGGTCAAGCGATGTACTTAGCCACTGAACGGAAATAACCACAAAAAATGTTGTCTGCACTAGGACTTCGTCAAGTTTACAACAAGGAAAACTCCGCTATCGGAATTTTTTGAGCACTCAAGTCCCGTCAGATCAGGATCAACCTTCAGCATTGCCTTCTAATGTTTATTCACATCTCGCATGCTATATTCCTACATCATGTTTAGGTTTTCTCCAGCTCTTGATAACAGGTCGATTTCTTAAAAGGGAATGTTTTCCTGGAACTGCACTGTGGGCCACACGTTGGACTTTCAATGTCTGAACCCTCCATCAAATCGTCTGGTAAGCTCGGCTAGCTAAGGTGTATAGTTCACCGCTTCACTGGGTCGCAGTTGCCCATTCGCTGTTCAGTTGAATTGTACTGTGGGGTAGGTTAGGCAAATAGGCACTTTCGGAATCCCAGGTGAGCAAGCAAACAATGGTGATCACCTGTTAAAAGTGTACTTGTAGAACCCTTTATGTCTGAGTAGCACCAACATCGAAGATGACAATGTGGCATCCACCCACCTCAACTCTTTTGTGGATTGGTATACGATTTTGCTACCAGTGACCCCTTGAAGGGAAGGATTGAAGACTGCGACTCCTTCTAGAGTTTGTTTTGACGGGCATTAGACTTATATGTATGCCTGTGAAATGTACGACAGAGAGAAGATTGATCAATAATGAAAAGGTGAATGTTCTAGAAATAAATCATGTGGTTTAATGCTGTAGAGTGGTGGAATGAAATCGTGTGTACCAAAGTCTCAAGGAACCCAGAATGAGACGGGGTGACTGATAGTGAACATTCCAGTCATGGGGTATGATATAGTGTTTCCACTTTGTAGGTTTGTGCTTTTTTTTATAGTCGAGTATTGTGTTCTGTAATGTCAATTCTGCTAAATCCCTTCTGTTGCCTTTACTAAAGTTGATGTTCATGTTCATTCAACCATCTGTCTTTCTATTTCTTCATACTAGACTTTAAAATACGTAGATCGGTCCAAATGATATTATAATTTAAACCATACGCATCAGTGTGGACTGACCTACAGTTAATGTCTATGTTCGCTAAGTCTGATTTCGAGTGATCTTGAGGTTTGGACCTATGTAATTAATGGGGTAGTCAGTGTAATACATTGCATATAGTGCTCATTTGTTGTTAATCAGATTCATTAGTTTGCGAACGGTTTGAACACCAGATTTTATGAGATTTCTTTCATTATAATTTGACTGTCTGAGACGGCCGTAGTTCCGCAAACTAGTATTTATACCGTTATGACTGAAGGTGGAATGAAAATCTGAACTGTAGCGGGATACGAACCACCGACCATCGGGTTTCCGGCCCGATACTCTACCAACTGAACTACAAGGTCCGACTGCTGAATGGATTTTTATTTTACTTCAATCACCATGAGTTTTACCCATGTCAGCAGTCGAGGACTTGCGTCTCAAGCTGGTGAACAAAATCTCGCATCTTCTGATTAGGACACGGAAACCTTATTTAATCGAGTGCTGTTGCACAATTAGAAGGGATTCTTTTCGAAAACGAGTCGTTAGAAGGACTTGGAGATTTCATATGATTGAGAAATGAATCTCTCAGGATGTGTAGGATGGTTTTCAACCAATGCAACACCAAAGTTACCAGGGTGTTTTCTTTACAAAGGTTCTTTGATAGACATCAAGCGTTGAAGTATTCTGGTTTCTCCCGGTGAACTGCAGATCGGCAACTTTCCAAGGCTACTGAATTCTATGGCAACAAAGTCAAAATGTAATGAATGATTACATTGTGGTTAATAATAACAGGATAATCAGGAAGTCAAATTTACCTTCCAACCGATGAAAGCCAAAAATCTGTAATCAGTGGAATTCTTTGCATTATTGGGAATGGAATATTTGTTATTATATTATTCGTCCGTTGGGTTGCTAATGGGACATAGGGCGTCAACAGCACGTCTCCAGTGAACTCTGTTCTCCGAAATCTTGTGAACCTGACTCCACAACAGCCCAGAAGCTCTCATTTCCTCCTCGCACGATCTCCTCCATGTCACCCTCGGACGTCCAACTCGTCGCTCCCCATCTGGGTTCCACTCGAGGGCCTGACGCGTGATGTCCCCAGTCGGCTTTCTCAGTGTATGCCCAATCCATCTCCACTTCCTTCCACTGCATATTTGTTGAGCGATAGGTTCTTGGTTGATTCGTTCCCAGATCTCCTTGTTGCTTATTCTTTCTGGCCATCTGATCTTCAGTAACGAGCCAGCGTAGGTAGTTGTTCATGAATGTCTGTAATTTGTTGGAAATCCCTTTCGTAACGCACCAAGTCTCTGAACCATACAGAAGCACTGACTTGACTGAAATAGTGTTGAAAATCCGGATCTTGTTCACGCTTTGTGCTGAGTGCAGAAGATCTCCACACTGGTTTCGGGCTAATGAACGCCTGTCTTGCTTTTCCGATCCTGGCTGGCTTTGACGTTCTCGTCTGTGCCGCCACCTGTAGTTGAAACAGTGCTGCCTAGATAGGTGGAGGCTACTTCCTTTAAGTTTCTCCTGTTGATAGTGATTAGAGCTTGTTGTTGTTGTTGATGGCGGTGGTGCGGTATCTTCATCACTTCTGTCTTCTCTATATTCACTTGAAGTCCCATCTTCGCTGCCTCTTCTGCAAATTTGTTAGCTTTTGCCTGTAGGTCTTCAAGTTTGTGTGACATCAGGCACAAGTCATCGGCGAAATCCAGACCTTCTAGGTTCTTTTCCACAGTCCAGCGTATCCCCCTCTTCTCGCTCCCCACTGTTTGCTGCATGATCCAGTCGACCACAATCAGGAATATCATGGGTGATAGTAGACGGCCTTGTTTCACTCCTGTCCTCACTTCAAAGGCATCACTGAGCTTCCCATTGTGAATTACTTGGCTGGCATGTGGCGTCTTCATATAGTTGTTGAATGAGATTGATAAAGGTTTGTGGTATTCCGTAGTATTGAAGCAGTTTCCAAATTACTTCTCTGTCGACGCTGTCAAAGGCCTTCTCAAAGTCGATAAAGTTAAGGTAGAGAGTTGACTGCTATTCTGTACTCTGTTCTATGATGATGCGAAGTGTAGCTTTGCAATTTGGTCGGCACATGATTTGTACTTCCTGAAGCCTGCCTGTTCCGGTCGTAGTTTTGAATCCAGTGCATCCTTTAGCCTCTCCAGGATGATGCGGCTTAATATTTTTCTTGCTCTGGGTGGACAGGAGAATGATTCTGCGCCAGTTCTTGCAAACACTGAGGTCTCCCTTCTTCGGGAGTTTGATAAGGTAACCCTTCTTCCAACCGCCAGGTACCTTCTCTTCCTTCCACACCTTCTACAATAGTGGTGTGAGCATGTCTGCTGTTGTCTCTGAGTCTG